TGCTTGAGGGAGGAGGAGGAGACGGAGACGGAGGAGGAGGAGGAGGAGGAGGAGGAGGAGGAAGAAGAGGAGGCGGAGAAGGAGGGGGTTGACTGAGCGCCTCTTGCACTCTCACACACAAATCCTGCCCAGGATTGCCCGCCCGCTCCAGGCGTGCTGCGCGCTTTTCCGCTCCTCATCCCCCCCCCCCCACATTGTTCTCTCAGGACTCCTGGGTCCCCGGGGGCTGAAACTGGGCCTGAGCTGGGGCGGGAAGAGATTTGGCTTTGGCCGGAGGGTCAGAGATCTGGGGCCAGGCCCCCCGCCCCAGATCCCCTCCCCCACGTCGCTTTTTGGGGGGTGTGGATTATCTCATCCCCGCAGGGAGGTGGGAGAGGGCGCCGGCTGCCCGCCTCCCTGCCACTTCCCGGGCGGCGCTGGCCCGCGGCAGCCCCGCAGCATGAGGTGGTGCTGGCGGCTCCCGGCCGTAGCACGGCCGCCGCGGCGGCTGCTGCTAGGGGAGCGCTGAGGGAGCCCCCGGAGCTGCGCGGCGCGGCAGACGCGCTTCTCCCGGGTGCGTCCGGGCCTCGAGGTTTTTTTTCCTAAAGCCGAGAGGACGCGGCTGTGATACGAAGGTAAGAGGCTCTTGGGTGCCCGCCGGCCTTTCGGCCCTACACGTTGTATGCGAGGTTGTTACCTGGGGCATGTGAGGCTCTTGGAGGTGCCAAATAGGGCAAACCGGAGGTACAGGGTTGATTTAAAAGGAAGGAAATAAGGACGCTTCTTTTTTTCCTTTTTCCTGGGACCTTTGCTCTTGGAGTTCCCAACGTTATAGTTGAAATCTGTTATGGGTGAATGAAGGAACAAGGGATGGAATACGTACGAAGATGGAACGTTTCGCGGTGCCTGAACTCTATGTAAGGCTTTAGACTCTTTATAGACTTTTCCATTGCTGGTAGAATTCTCGGTAGATTTTAAAAAATTGGCTCAGGAGCCCTTCTTGCTTGCTGCAGGAGCACACTATCTCTACTATTCAAATTCTAACCTTCTAATGCTTCTACCAGTATATGCTAGTATTTAGAAATCTGTAGTTGGGCCAAAAAAGTTGAGATATAGCTAAATAGATGAGCCGATGCATTTCCCAGGGTTTCCTTAAAATGGAACAGTTTACAGTTGCACTGATGTACGTATGGATATTTCTGCGAAACTTAGAATGGGAGACTGTGTCTGGGTTTGCATCATAGAGTGACATCAGTATGCACAAGGACGATTTGCAGGATTTTTCAAAGCCTTGTTCTAGGAGGACCTGACATCTGCAACAAACCAGCTGCTTTTCGAATATGAAATTTAATATTAAGTTTTTGTGACGAAATCTTGAGCCCACTTGAAATGGCACAGCACAATAAAACGTATCTATGGAGGAAAAAAAAGTCAGTGTATCCGTCTTGTAATAGAAGATTTGAGTAGAAAGAAGACTGGTACAGTAAAAGCCAGGGCATTTTAAAATCCTGGCTTCCTGAAGCTTAGTGTGCCAGAGGGAGGAAATTATTTCTCATTTTTTAAGAGGGGGAGGGGATGACCTTAAAATAAATGATTATTCAGAGCCCCAAATGTCCTTAATGGAATAGAGCTAGATACATCAGTTAAATCTTGAATTTGATAAGTTTAAATTGAACATTGTTTTAAAGGAAAAGAAAACTTTTGAAAGCAAAAGTTGTGTATGGTACAGAACTACTTTACAGACTCATAAGAGTTAAGTCAGTTTGTGGATACTACCATTTTTTTGTCAGAATAAATTTCTGCTCCATTTACCATAACAGCTATTTTTGCATCTCTTAACATTTTTATGGCTTACATATCTTTATTTCATTTTGCATTTACACATGTGCATGGTTTTATAATATGATCTTGAGTGATTTGTAAGAGCAACATGGTCTTTTTTGCATATAGTAATTGTGATTTAGCTAGTATGTTTTAGACATTTGGCAAGACATTTTGAACACAAGGAGACATCACTATTTTATAGTTTTTTAAGATATTGAGTAGGTTAGTTATTAATTTAGAAAACCAGGGATTCTTCAAAAAGCAGTAATAGATGAGGATGTGACTTTCTTATTGCCTGTTTTCTAAAATGTTAGCTGTGGATGGATTGTGTCAAATTTGTGGTTTTTTTTTCTTATGTCCTAATTGAATATCTTTAAAATACCTCTAGTAACATGTTACTTTAAATTTATGACACCTGATTTCTAATTTAGGCTAGGCATAAAACCAGCATTGATTGAATGCACTTGCTAAAAATACTTTCTGGGTCAGATGTACTTAGAATGCAGCCTCAGGAAAATTCGTTTAGACTAGCCTGTGACCAATGTACACTTCATTATTATTAAAGGGTGTTAAAAAAGTACAGAATTTCACAAACTAAATTTCATCAGTTCAGACATAGGTGCCTAACTTTTATTTTAATGTGTAAAGTAAAATAGTAATAAGTTTATGTGGGATAATAATTTTAAAAAGTTTTTTCAATTATTTTAAACTTATATGATCCCTGTAGACTGTTGTTAAACTCTGTGGTTTATATACTTGATATATTTTAGTTTCATCTATTAAATATAATTGAGTTGTATAGTGACAGTATGTATGTGGAAATATTGTTGTTATTGGTCTAGTATTTATTTATGACTTTGTTTACACTCAAAAAGGGGAATGTTGACCATGTTTGTTTTTTTTTGACTATGTTTTTTTAAGTGAATTATCTTTAAGGAACAAAGAGACTACCAGATAATTTCACAGAGGCACTGATATTGAGAATACTTTGTTTCGTCCTTCAGAGAGTTAATTTAGTCACTTTTAAACAGCAGGAATGCTTTTAAAAAATATTTAAGGATCTTAACTTGTTTAGTGGCTGTTTAAAGGGAAATGGTTAAAAGTTCTTGAATTCTTTGTTACTTATTAGGTATGCAAAAATCTCTGACCTCACTAGGAATGAAAGTCTGTATGATTTAATGGTGCTAAGTATGAGTTATTGCTCCTAAATAAAATTTGTTTATTGGTAGAAAAGCACTGGTTACAGACTGAATTGAATTGTTGTTTTTCTGGGTTATTGCATGTTATGAAGTTTTTTATATGCTATAGTCGAGGTAGATTAAATTTACTGGCTCACTAGAAGAAGCTGTGAAGCCTTGAAGATTGGCTTAGCATTCTGGAAATCCTTGTATTGTTTGCCAGGAAAGTACTGTAGGAGGAAGGTATTGTTATTTCTTCATTTAATACTCAATTAGTACTGATGGTGAGAAGGAATATAATGTAGAAGCACTGTAGGGTATTTATTGGTGTGGAAGTCAGTTGTTTAAGAACAGCCTAATTTATTGTATATCCTTTGCATGAGAAGTCAGTATAATCAAATATAAAATGGAATGGGGGAAAAGAGAAGGGAAAATTTGTCACACTCTCTGTGTTAGAGGTATTTTTCCCTCACATTAATTCTTTATTTCATTATTCCCAAGTAGAAATACTGGAAGAAAAGCTCAGGTTTTCATACTATGGACTATTTTGAGGGGAAGATATTAACTTGGGTGGGTTATTGTGTTTATATCTTTTAACAAGGAGATTATGTAGAGTACTAGGGAAAAAAAAAAAAGACTCCAGAAGGGAAGAATAATAGTATTTATTATCTGTTAAGTGTCAGACAGTGTACAAGGGGTATTTCATGTTATTACAGTTCATCATCAAGTATAATTTGTGAGGTAAGTATTATTAATCCCCTGTACTCTCCTACCCCTGAAATAGAAGTAAAGAGAAATTAAATAACTTGTCCAGAGTCATAGTCCTAGTAAGTGGAATTCAGACCACATTTGTCTTACTGTAAAGCTTATTCTTTAGATCAGGGCTGTCCAGTTAAGTTTTCTATATTGTGAAAATATTCTTCCCTCATGTCCACACTTTAATGAGGTTTAATTGACAAATATGATAGAAATGTTCTTTTTCCGCACTGTTAGATATGGTAGCTATTAACCACGTGTGGCTGTGGAGCACTTGACATGTGACTAGTATGTGTGAGAAACTGAATTTAAAATTGTATTTAGTTTTAATCACTTTAAAATGTGGTTCACAGATGCTAGCCATATCTCGTCGCGAATGTGAAAGTGTTGGACAACACAGCCTTATATCTTGCTTCCTATGAAATCTGAGTTCTAGTATGTAATCTTCTACAAGTTTGTGTATGGTGTTAGGCATGTTACTTTGTTTTAGAGTCTCCATTTAACCTACTGTGAAAACAGTGGGGTTGCCATTAAAAGATTATTTCCAAGATCTCTTCTTGTAATTTTTATTAAATGTTCACTGGCTCTTAATACAAACGTATCTGAAAGTCTCCCCTCTGCAGTGTGCCCATTCTTCATATAAGGATTTTTATTCAGTCATTTTCTTTTTGAGAATATGTATAAATCACACATAAAGAATAATGGATTACACACACAGTTGTTTGTTGAAAAGATTGGGTAATCCAAGGCAGTACTATATGTTGGAACAAAGTTTGAATCTTTAAAATATCATATTTCAGCAAGTCACCTTCCATTTAAGAATATGTAGAGTTCCCTGGTGCTTACCAAATTTATTCTGAATTTATCTGCTGGGCCTTGAAGACTTTCCCCAGTTTCATCTCACTAATGCTGTTTCTTATTTTTGTTTTAAAAAAGAAAACATTCTTGTTTTTCCCTCCATCATTTTTTCCTCAGTTTAACCATCCTGCAGTCCATCTGCCTCCTTTAAGCTGTTCTCAAAATTCACCTTTTCTGGAAGAATGATGCTTAATCCATTCTTAAAGATCAGGCTTTGAGTCCTGGTGACACCACCTGGGGTTAATATACTTGCTCAGATACAGTTTATTATATCTTCCTACAGCTTTTCTTGAGTTTTAATGTTACCTACTAAATGTAAGAAAATTAAAAACAAGGCTTTCTTAGTTTGTGTTGCTTTGAGTTTAGTTTGTTATTCAGTAATGCCCTTTTTAAAAGTTCCTGATTTTAAAAAGTGATAAATACTGTAACAACATTTATTGGTAATCACCATTGTAATATTTTTTATTCCTTCTGGATAGTTGTCAATACTTATTTATATTATATATAGATGTATAATATATAGACATATAGCATATATACCTGTATTTTTTTTTCCTGGAAAATTGTGTAGTCAAGATATAATTTTAAGTCAAATATAAGGGAAACAGATCTGGTTTGGAATCTAGTCTCAAAAACCTTGTGCATGTCAGAGAAAACATTCTACATTTTACCTAACTTTTGTATTTACATACATGAATAGAGCACAGTGAATCCTAACATAAAGTATATCTACAAGACACTAATTAAAAAAAAAAGCTGTAAGTTGCATAAAGACCAGTAGGGTAGAGGGAAGAAAGGAGGGACTGAATTAGAGCAAATTATATTTTATGCTTTTGTGATTATGTCAAATGTATCCTAATGTTTTATATAACTACAAAGAATCATTTAAAAAAACCCTTGGGCAAATTATGTAACATCTGAACCACTTGGCCTTTTATTGTGGAGATTAGGATAACATATATAAAGCATCTAGCACTGTGTTTAAATAGATGATCAGTAAGTGGTAGTTGGTATTACTATTTTTTCCATTTTCCCATTCCCATGTTCATGAATATAGTTTAAATGTTTGCTTAAACTCAGGTGATATTCCATAATTTATTTAGTCGATTGCCTCTTGTTAACTTTTAAAAATTTTCCTCAGTCTAAAACTGTAGGACTGGGATAATGGTCCAGGGTTATGCCAAATTTCTCTCTCAAAATTCTTACAATGGGTAGTCTTGTTTTGAAAAAGATGTTAATTTGATTGTATAGTTTTGCTTTGTTATTTTAATTAATGTGTTTTTGAAATTTTTGGTTTATTGGGAAATGATGTTGTAAGCATTTCTTTACCTCTTAATAGAGTGAGAGCAATGGCATAAAGGAAAATAAGGCATGATTCTTGTTCTTGAGCTCAAATTCTAGAGTGGTAACACATGTCAACAAACACAATTCAGAGTGACAGTGAAATAAGATCTGGGGGAAATGAGAAGTGGTATTTGGAATATGGTCTTGAAGGATGAGTTGGAATTGATCTGGGTAGAGAGAACAGTGTGTACAAAAAGTCAGAAGTACGAAAGAGTACGTAGTGTGTTTGGAGAAATGCAAGTTGTCTTGTGTATATTCACCTCTTGATGGGTGTCGTATCTACTCCTGTGTGTGAATCTGTTTGTGCATATGTGTTGACTATTGAGGGAGACAAGCCTAGTTAAGGATTCTTATGTTTGGGCAATGAAAGGGATCATATTAAGACCTTTAGAACAGAGCTTCACGTTGGGTATGTTGGAGCCTTAGGATGGTTTCTTTTGGCTTCATAGTCTTCTTGCTTTATACAATTGTGCTAAAAAATTATTTTGGTGGCAACTTGGGAAAAGGATTGTGAAAAACAGTGTTGGAGAGTTTATCCATTCACTCTTGGCAGCCCCATTTCATAGTCAAGAATAAAACGCATACCAAGTCCTAAAGCAAGCATAAAGAAGGTCAAGTCAAAGTCTCCCCTTCCTCCCCTATCTTCCCTTCTTCTACCCACTCCTCAGTATTTTCTTCATTATTGTTGTTGGGGGGGGGGGTAATTTTTGGTGCAACTGTGTGGGAAATCAGCATTAACAATTAGGATATTTGAATAAGGGAATAAGATTGGAAATAGGTTTTGAAAGGTAACTCGTGACTTCTAGGTAATGATACAAGGATGTAAGAATGGTGCAAGGATGAGGTTAGAAATGGGGTAGGGAGATAAGTAAGGATGATCTTAGCATGCCAAGTGAGGGATAATAAGGCTAGGAATGGGGAAATAAAAATAAGAATGTGAGATTACTGATTAGGTAGTTTCATTAGAACTGTGAAAACTGATTAGGTAGTTTCATTAGAACTGTGACTCCATTTGGATATGGGGGAAGGAGGCAAAAAGTTGAAAATGATTGCTAAGATTTGTTCTTTGGCCACTTTTCTCCTTTGAGAAGGCCAAATAATTTTTATTGAGTACCTTCAGTGAGCCAAGTATTTTGCTAGGCACCAAGGTTGTCATGAGTCCTTATTGGATTTTTAAAAATTAACATTTTGAAATTCAAGCCTAATGAAAAGTCTCAAGGAAAGTAGTTAGAGCGCCTGAACTGTCTATTTGTTCATTTGCCTGTTCAACCAATTTTTAACAATATATATACTGTGTATGTACCCAAGATGAGCCTGGAACGTTTTGTTGTGCCTAACTTACTGTAGCAGGCTTAGTAAAAACTTCTTTCTACATTTCCAGGGATAACCTGGGCATATCTTTTTGCTATGTCTAATTGTATTCTGTTTAAATTTATTTTTCACATTTTTTTATTGATATAGTTGTACATAATGATGGGGTTTGTTGTTACATATTGGTACATGTGCACAAGATAACAATATTATTTGGCCAGTATCACTCCCTAGCACTTCCCTCTTCCCTCCCCTCTTTTTGTCCCCTGATCCAGTCCCTCTTCTGATCTCCTGTCATGAGATCCCTGACTACCCTGCCCACCCCCCACCACCTCTCTTTTCTTTTTTCCTCTCTAGCTTCGACAGATGAGAGAAAATGTACCACCCTTGACCTTCTCAGTTTGGCTTATTTTGCTTAACATAATTAATGACCTCAAGTTCCATCCGTTTTTCTGCAAGTGGCATAAATTCACTTTTATGGCTGAATAAAACTCCATTGTGTATATGTACCACATTTTCTTTATCCATTAATTCACTTATGGACAACTAGGCTGATTTCATAGTTTGACTGTTATGAATTGTGCTGCTGTAAACATGGGTGTATGCATGTATCCCTATAGTGTGGTGACTTTAATTCTTTAGGATAAATACTGAGGAGTGGTATAGCTGGGTCTATGGTTGTTGTATGCCTTGTCTTTTGAGGAAACTCCATACCAATTTCCATAGTGGTTGTATTAATTTACAATCCACCAACAGTATAAAAGTGTTCCTTTTATGTTTATTATTATTATATTTGTAGTACATTTGTATTTCTTCTTTTGACAGCTACTATTTAGTTTAATTTGCCCATTTATTAATTGGGTTATATGATTTTTTTCTTTATATATTCTAGATATTAGACCTCTTTTCTTTGGGGGTGAGTACTGGGGATTGAACTCAGAGGCACTCGACCCCTGAGCCACATCCCCAGCCCTATTTTGTATTTTGTTTAGAGACAGTCCACTGGGTTGCTTGGTGCCTTGCTTTTGCTGAGGCTGGCTTTGAACTTGGGAATCCTCCTGTCTTAGCCTCCCCAGCCCCTGGGGAGGCATGCGCTACTGCACCCAGCTAGATATTAGAGCTCTTTTGGAAGAGTAGACAACAAAGATTGTCTCCCAGCAGAGGCCGCTGCCAAAGCCCAGAGGTCTTTCTCCAGGCATGGTTGCCTCTCCCACACTGCTGCCCCCACCTTTGCCTAGAGGTTTTCTCTCTGGCGCCACAGATGCCACTTCTACCTACACTGCTGCCTCAGTTGCCCGCTCCTCCCTGTCATCACCTAGAAGTCTTTTCTCCAAGCGCTGCTACTACTGGTACTGCTCCTGTCAACTGATTCACTTGGTGCCGCTGCCCTGGACTGCTGCTGCTGCTGCTGCTGCTGCTGCTGCTGCTGCTGCTGAACCACTGCTGCTGATGTCCAGAGGTCCGCTGCCAGAGTGCCTGCAGGTTTGATTACACATGGCCACCTCCATCTTGGGATGCCAGCCAGCGCCTGGGGCCTGGGTGCCAGCCGGTTTGCAGCCACTGCCATCTGAGGGCGAGCTGCCTCTGTTTGGGGACACCAGCGAGGATCTGGATGTTCAGTGTCAAAGTGCCTGCAGGGTTGGCTGCGCCTGAAGTCTTCCTATAAGTTGTCCGCCATCTTGCAGTGCCTTTTCAGGGTCACTTCCCTATGTGAGTGCATCCCTGGTCATCTTCCTGCAAATTAGAACAGCTTGGAGATCTTGGGTCTGCAATGTGACCAAGCTTGGGGTATTGAAATCCAGATTAGAGGGATGGTAGCTGGGTCTGTGTGGCAGTCCTATGAAGAATCAGACAGGTCTGAGAAAACTTTGAACTCTGAAGCAAGCAGTTGCTCAGTTTTCCATTGAGCGCCCCCATCCCCATTTGATGTGCTTTTGTTTTAAATACTCCCCCCCCCTTCTCTAGCTAGCTACTATTTTTGGTTCCAGGTATTTTTTCATGCATCAGTTTGTTGAGGATTTTAGTGTATGGATGGTATTTTGCATTTTATTGTATATTATATTTTTAATTTTTATTATATATATTTTTCCTCTCGCTTGTCTGTTTTCCTGGATTTCTGTATTTTTTTCCCACTAAAGGTCAGTCTCTGTCAATTCTTTCCCACTCTTAGATTTTTGCTTATGGCTTCTCTCCTCCTCCCTAATGAACATAGTGTCCTGCACCACTTCTGTTCTCTTTGTCCAGCATTTGGAATTGTGAACCCTTTTAACAAATTTGCTATGTATAGTGTGGACAGTAAATTAAACTATTTCTTTTTGTTGTGAGAAAACTGTGGAAGTCTTCATAGGATCTAGTGGGTTTGGGGCTATATGTTGTTTACATTGGGTGCTTTTGATATTGGTCTCCCCCCTTGAAGGTGAGGTGCTGGAAACCTTCAGGGACACCATAGGTCTGCAGAGTAGAATTTGTGTTGCCTTAGATCCATACTGCTAGATTGGGAAACACACGAACAACATGAAAAAACAAAGGAATAAAGTGCCCCAAATAAACCAAGAAGCTCCAGGGACAGAATCCACTGACAACACAGTAGAAGAAATGTCAGAGAGGGAGTTTAGAATGTACATAGTTAAACAGATCTGCGAAAAAAAGGATAGTATAAGAAATGAAAGAAAAAACACAGGAAGTGAAGGATCGCTTCAATACAGAGAGATTGTGAAAAAAAAACCAAGCAGAAGTCCTTGAAATGAAGGTGTCAATATACCAAACAATGGAAGGCATCACCAACAAACTAGACCTCTTGGAATATAGAACCTCAGGCCATGAAGCTAAAAGATATAATCTTGAAAATAGAGTTGACCATGCAGAGAAAAGATGGTAAGAAACCATGAACAGACATCCAAACAAGAATTATGGGATTATATGAAAAGACCAAATTTAAGAGTTATTGGGATAGATGAAGGAGCAGAGATGCGAACTAAAGGAATGCGCAGTCTTTTCAATGATATAATATTGGAAAATTTCCCAAACCTAAAGAAGGAAATGTAAAATCAAATACAAAAGGCTTACAGAATCCCAAATGTACAAAATTACAGCAGACACATTATAATGAGAATGACTAACACAGAGAATAAAGATAAAATCTTAAAGGCCCTGAGAGAAAAAATTCAAATGACATATAGGGGGAAACCAATTCAGATCTCAACTGATTTCTCAACCCAGACCCTCAAAGCTAGGAGGTACTGGAATAATATATTTCAAACTCAGAAAGAAAATGGATGCCAACCAAGAATTTTTTATCCAGAAGAATTGTTTCAGATTTGAAAATGAAATAAAAACCCTCCATGATAAACAAAAGTTAAAAGAATTTGCAACTAGAAAGCCTGTACTACAGAATATTGTCAACAAAATATTCCATGAGAATGAAGTGAGGGGGAAAAAAAGTGAAAACCACCAGAGATGAACAATGCTAAAGAAATGTCAATCGAAGGAGAAACTAAGACAAATTAAAAACCATAAGTAAACCAAAATGACTGGCAACACAAATCGTAGCTCAATAATAATCTTAAACTCATCAATCGAAAGACACAGACTGGCAGATTGGATTAAAAACAGGAACCAATAATATGCTGTCTACAAGAGGCTTATCTCATAGGCAAAGACATCTACAGAATGAAGGTGAAAGGATGGGAAAAAAACATATCACTCACATGCAGGGTTTTCTATCCTCATATCAGATAAAGAGGACTTTAAGCCAAAGTTAATCAGAAGGGACAAAGAAGCCCATTTCATACTGCTTGAGGGAATTACACATCAACAAGACATAACAATCATAAATATCTATGCCACAAACAGTGGAACATCTCTGTACATCAAACAAACCATTCTAAATTTTGAGAACCAGATAGACCACAACACAGTAATGCTGGGTGACTTTAATAACACACCTCTCTCACTATGGGATAGATCTTCCAAACAAAAACTGAATAAAGAACTCTAGATATAAATAACACTAATCAATAATTTAGGCTTAACAGACATATATAGAATATTCATCTATCAATGAGCAAATACACTTCTCAGCAGCACATGGATCCTGCTCTAAAATAGACCGTATCTTATGCCACAAAATGACTCGTAGCAAATACAAAAACATAGAGCTAATACCCTCCATCCTATCAGATCATAATGAAATAAAATTAGAAATCAATGAGAGAATAAAAAATATAAGCTATTGTAACACCTGGAGACTAAATAAACATTATTGAATGATGAATGGATAACAGAATAAATCAAAGATGAAATAAAAAAAATACAGAGATGTAAATGATGAGAATAGTGATAAAACATAACAAAATCTGTGGGACATCATAAAGGCAGTGCCTTGGCCTCCCAGATTGCTGGAATTTCAGGTGTGCGCGACCATGCCCAGCTACAATGACATTTTGACAACTCCAAAACCCACAATAAGATGGCAATAATTTGAAAGGAGGGTAGGGAGTTATCCCAGATACCTTCTAAAATTCATTCAGGGCAATTATTTTGATAGCAAGTATTGGTATATGATTTTGTTTAACCATCTTTCAAATAACCACTATAATTTCTGTCCCTTAATCTTAAAAAGTGATAAGATGTATGTATCATTAAAAAGAAAAATAAATGATATTTTTCTTGATGCTATCTCCTCATCCTCCATAATCCAGGAAAGTCCTTCTTCCCTTTATGGTCAAATTTCATAAAAAGTTGTTTAGTTTATAATCAGTATTTGTCTAGTTTACCTTTCCACATTCAAAGTAGCTTACTATGTTAATGTTTTATAAACATATATGTTTTTTCATTTAAATATACCTTGGAGATCATTTGACTTTAGTGTTTAGAGAACTCCCAACCTTTCTTCCATCCAATATAGTGACATACTCTATTGTGTAGATACGTTGTTGTTGTTGTTTTGATATGTTGTTTTTAAAAAAATATTTTTAGTTGTAGATGGACACAATGCCTTTGTTTTATCTATCTATCTATCTATCTATTTTTATGTGGTGCTGAGGATCAAACCCAGTGCCTCACACATGCTAGGCAAGTTGCTCTACCACTGAGCCACAACCTCAGCCTTAGATATACTGTTAAGCTAACTTGTTTTGAATATTTAAGCTCTTACTATACTTGGATTCTTTTATTCTTCTCCTGTGTAACTTATTTGCTTTAACTTCTTTTCTGTCTGAATTGGGCTCCCATGAGGCATTGTGCATTAATGGTTTGCTCGACTTTGTGTACCTGAAGTCCTCTAATGCCTCGTGGGACCAACCTTTTAAACTTTGTGGCTAAGCCAGACTCTATCCTCCTTATTTCAGTTGCTTACATGAAAAAATGGTAGCAAAAGAAAAAGGGATAAAACTAATATTTGTTAAACTCTACTGGTTGTTTTTAAATATAATATTTAATTTAATTACCTCAGTAACCCTATGGAGTAGGTGGTGGTAGTCTGGTTTTACAGATGAAGAAGTTAAACTCAAAAAATAGAGTTGTCCAGACTTTTACAGCTTAAAAATGTCAGGTTGAGGGTTTTTTTTGTTGTTGTTGTTGTTTGTTTGCTTTTTTGGGTTTTTTTTTTTTTTTTTTTGTTTGTTTGTTTGTTTGTTTTGTGGTGCTAGGGCTTGAACCCAGGTCCTTGTGCATGCGAAGCAAGCATTCTATCAGCTGAGCTATAGCCTCAGCCCTTGGAAGTTTTTAAAGTAGGTTTGAGTCTAGAATCTGTACCTATTCTGCTACTGCCCTTGTTTTCTGTGTTATAATGTCATATTTTTGAATTCTTGAACTTTAGCCTTAAAGCCGGAGCTCTCTATTAATCTACTGTATACCTTACGTCAAGAGCCACATAATCAGACATGTTGCCTGCTGCCATGTTTCCCTGTTGCATTGTTCCTGATTGCTGGGATGCCACCTGCTTACCTGACCTCTGTGACACTAAAGCCCACTTCTCTGGATCCCTGCCGATAGGCATTTTCTAATTGCCTATCTGTATTGCCACTCATCATTACTCTTAAGGGTTTTTTGTTTTGTTTTGTTTTCTTCTCTAATTTCCCCTGCTTAGCCCTGTCACCACTTGCTTTTCAGTTTATCAAGCTTTGTGAAGCTTGAGCAAAATTTGCAAAATTATTTGGGATGATTTAACATTTTTTTATGTTAAATCTTTTTTTAAAAAAAGTTTTTTGTAGTAGATGAACCCAATACCTTTATTTTATCTTTTAATGTGGTGCTGAGGATCAAACCCAGTGCCTCTCACGTGCTAGGTAAGTGCTCTAACAACTGAGCAACCCCAGCCCAATGTTAAATCTTATCTTGGAGTTTTATATTAGTTTCCATAAAAGTGCATTTGACCATTAGTTTAGACCTTTCTAATTTCCTAGTGTAGCCAGTGTGGTCTGACATGCATATTTGATCAAAATTTTCTATTATCTCTTCATCTGCCTGTGAAACAAATGAAGGGATTTTCCAAGGAGTTCAGAATTATTTGAAAAATACCAATTTTATAAGTAATGTTGAAGGTGGGCACAGTGGTTCACTCCTGCAATCTCAGCTACTCAAGGAGGCTGAGGCAGGCAGATTGCAATGTCAAGGCAAGCCTCAGTAACTTAATGAGCCCTCCATCTCAAAATAAAAAATGAAAAGGAGCCAGGTATGGTGGCACATGCCTGTCATTCCAGTGGCTTGGGAGGCTGAGGCAGAAGGATTGCGAGTTCAAAGCCTGCCTCAGCAATTTAGCCAGGTCCTAAGTAACTCAGTGAGACCTTGTCTCTAAATAAAGATATAAAGAAGGGTTGGGGGTGTGGCTCAGTGGTTAAGTGCCTCTAGATTCAGTCCCTGGTACAAAAAAGAAGAAAAGGGCTAGGGATGTAACTCAGTGGTGGAGTATCTTTGGTTCAATTCCCAGTAATGAAACAAAAAATGAAAATAATGTTAGTGTCATTTTTGCTGGTTTCTTTTTTAGATATTTCTTTATTGTATAGAAGCAAATATCATTATAGACTTCAGAGATTCTTGAATTGTTTTATTTGCATTGTAATGAAATCTCTACTTGGTTTATTTACATGTCCCACTTATCTTTCTTTTTCCAGTCCAACAACAGTCAGTTACAGTCGCTTACTACAGAAGTACTAGGAAATGGGGTATCTTCTCTGAGAAGCGTTTTGTGACTTGGAAAAATTGTTGCAGGTGATTCTGATAATGTGATCCACCTTACATGTGTCCATTTTTATGGGTTTTGATCTGTGTTCACACAATCATTTAAAAAAAATTGTATAGGTCAACATTTCTTTTTATGAAATTTCAAATCTCTAAAAAATTTTTTTTTATTCACTTAGTGCCAGACTTGACCTAACAGATGTGAAGCTGTTTAGTCTTCATTTATCTCACTTAATAGTAGACCTTCTTTAAGTTCTCTAATGAAATTGTATGGTGCTGTCTAGAACTAACCAAGAAGGTTACTCAATATAAGGTATATATTTTTTTTTTTTTTTAGGATAAAGCGGTTGAACTTATGCTTTTCATGTTCCAGTTTCACTTTTTACATATATTCTTCAAATTCATTGTTCATTTATCTGTTAGTGTCTTAGTAAGTTTTGTTACCAATTTATATTGTAGATATTAATTGTTTATTTGATAACACAGTAATATGCTTGGGATATACTGTGAGTTTTTTTGTATCTACCATATCAAAAAATGCCACAACTTGAAAGCACATCTATTTATAAAGGAGATGACTTTGCTTACAATCCTTTTATGTCATTCAGTGTTACATCTCTACATTAAAGCCATAGTTAGTTAGGTACTGTAGTGCATGCCTGTAATCCCAGCAACCCAGGAAACTGAAGCAGGTAGATTACAAGTTCAAGGCTAGGGATGTAGCTCAGTGGTAAGGTATCCCTGGATTAATCCCCAGTACCAGTACCAAAAAAAAAAGAAGAAGAAGAAATGAAAAGAAAAAAGATAAAATCCATAATTAATAAGTGTTGAGAGCCACAGCCGAAGGGGCCCCAGCAAACTTTCAGACTGCCAGCTGATGATTGGCTTACAGTGGCCCCATCAACTTCTAGCTGATTGGCTCCTCTGCGGTGATGCTCATTGGGCTGTTTCCCTGCCCTTTCAGACCACGGAGCTGCTCATTGGGGGACTTTTTTGGCTCCACCCGCGCGACCCAGCCAGTCGGCCTCAAGAGCAGGAGGAGGGGGGAGGTTGAGAGGCTTGTGGGAAGCCGGTGGTGGCAGTTGGGCTCTGAGGGTTTTTCCTGAGGAGCTGTTTTGTTTGGCTGTGTGGTTCTAAAAATAAAGTTAGTTTCTTTTGACAAGTGGCTCCTGAATTGTGCCCAGCCAGACTGCGGCAAATAAGAAAATTTCTTCTGAAGAAGAGAGGAACAACAAAACTTGAAAGATGATACCTTTTTTAAGACAAGAATAATAAAGAATATTCTCATTAGTGGTACTTATAAAAGATAGGCTTTATCGGAATCTAATATAGAAGGAACTAAAGAACCAAAGTTCACTGATTTATGTAGTTTCTTTCCCTGTCAAGACTGTGAGCCTCCTGAGGCTAGAGATCTAGATGTATGCATATTTATATCTCCAGCATCTAGTACTGTGCCTGCTAGTTAAGAGCTGCTCACATATTTATATGCATAAACTGGTGTTTTGAATGTACAGATTTAGGTAACTCATTTCAGGGTTTGTGGGTTTTGAGTCTGTGGGTCTTTGTCTCTTGTTTCTCTGTCACTTCCTCTCACAGAGTATTTTAAATGCTATAATATATAAATATGATGAATTGTCAAAGATTAAATAGCAAAAAAAGGAAAAGCCTCTGGTAAATAAATTTGATGCAAAAAGTGGTACAAATTAGTTTCTTATATTTAAAATACAGTTAATGAATATCAAATCTATTTGACAATATTTAGCAGTCAGTAACAGTTGAGTAGAGGATTACACAAAGGACATTTAGAAAATGCTGTTTGTATGTCAGTGAATCTGTGCAGGTTCAGTGCTGTGCATGCAGGTGTCAGGTGATTGAACATGCTTAACATGGGATGCTTTTTTCTTAGACTATATGACTTCTATTCCCCCTTCCCCCATTATTGGGCTTTGAACCTAGAGGCAGTTTACTACTCCCCCCCCCCCCCTTTTTTTTTATTTTCAGAAAAGGTCTTTCTCAGTTGTCCAGCTGGCCTCTCAGACTTAGGGTCCTACTGCCTCAACCTCCTTAGTTGTTGGAATCACAGGAATGTGCCTGGCATGTGGTACACCATTTCTTAAATAAGAAGCTTTTATTTAAGGTGTTGCATAAGAACTACTATATAACTAGGTTTGGTACATGTAAGTCTAAAGAGAAATTTTAGAACAAACTTACAGCATTATTTATTTATTTTCTTCTACAGGATATCAGTTTTATAGCTCATAGTTTTAATAGTGCTGTCCTTAGGGAATCTGGCCCATTCTGTTTTACATTGCCAGGTTTAGTTTAGTGGAGCTCAGTGGTAGAGCACTTGCCTATCACGTGTGAGGTACTGGATTCGATTCTCAGTACCACATAAAATAAACAAAGGCATTTTGTTTATTTATTTTTTAGTTGTAGATTAAACAACTAATAAATAAATAAATAAGGGTAAAGAATTATCAGCTATCCATGTGCTGATGCACATGCCTGTGGCTCAGGAGGCCGGAACGGGAAGATTGCAAGTTCAAGGCCAGCCTCAGCAAAAGTGAGGTGTTCAGCAGCTCACACCCAGTCTCTAAATAAAACACAAAAATAGGGCTGGGGATGTGGCTCAGTGGTTGAGTGCCTCTGAGTTCAATCCCTGGTATCCCCCCCCCCACCACCACAAAAAAAAAGTCAGCTATCCAGAAAACTTTTTGAGTGACTAATTGCTAATTGCTTGATTATTTTGGATAACAATGAATTTATTGTGTATACTTTGTTAAATGTAAAAACATAATTTGAAAGGAATGTTTTCTCTTTCCTCACATCTTTTTATTTTTAAAAACTTCAGACCTGTGGAAAAGTAGCAAGAATCACATATTGAACATCCATATACCCTTTATATAATTTTACTAGTTGCTACTTTGCTTTATCTCTCTGTATATACTTTTAAAATTTCTGTTTGGGAATTGTAGTCATCATGATCATAATAACACTTTATCCAAATGTTTTAGCATGCAAACATGAATCTTCTAGGAAAAAACACATTTTCCCATATAACCACAAAATCACACTCAAGAAGTTTTGCATTGACACATGCTGGTATCTGAAATACAATCCATATCTAAATTTCTCCAGTTGTTCAAGCAACTTCTTTATGCCCTCTCTCCCCCAATCCATGATTGGATTAAGGATTGTACATTACTTTGGTTGTTAGGTCAACTTGGATGTTTTAACCCATAGCTCTTCCCCAGCCTTCTTGTACATCTCCTGCACATACTTAAGATCTAGATTTTTTAAGATCTAGATAAGTTGTTTTGTAGATTGTCCTTCAATTTAGATTTAGACAGCAACAAGCTAAATTAGTTTAGTGACAGATGTTTCATTTAGTTTTCTCATCATTAGATTTGGGTTAAACATTTTGGCAAGAATACTGCATAGATGTTTTGTTCTCAGTGTTTGATATTAGGATGATGTTGAATTTGATCATTTGGTTAAGGTAGGCTTTGATAGGTTTCTCCATTAATAATAATCTGTGGGGTAACACTTTCAGGTTGTGTACCTTGTTTCCCAAATAAACTTTTGCCCAGTGATTTTAGTATTCATTTATGAGTCTTCCCCAAATCAGTTATGGTAATTGTAAAGTAGCAATTTTCTATTTCTCCAATTTCTTCTGTTTCATCACTAGACATTTTTATACAAAGAAGAGTTATTCCTCTCAGTTAAAAAAAAAAAAGTGTAAGTTGGACCTATTAATTCTTGTTTTTAGAGTATCATAATCTATTCTTATTTATTTTGGAACTTAAATTGATTCATGTTTAGCTAGTAGGAGTCCCATTAGACTTATTCTTTGACTTGTCCTCTTTAGAGTTTGAGGGCTTCATTTACTGGCACAGATATTTTACCCTCATCTTATATTTTCCTTGTTCCATCTCTGGGATCAGTAGTTTGTCCTAGAGTCTTAATTCTTCTAGTGGGTAGAATAATATAAGGGATTAGATATGCTTGGTGTTTTGGGAGCTTTTTTCCTTTTAGGTTCAAATAGTGGGCAGAGGTAGAGGTGGCAAGGCTACTTTTAAAAAATGATGGAATCCTGTCATCAAACAATACCTTATCTCCCATGCCATGGGATCTAACTTCTTAATCTCCTCCAGCTAGTGAGGTTCCTGGTAATATTAACATTTTTCATTTATTCATTTATATAATACACACAAAATAGTTTCAGAATGGTTCAAAACTGTTACTGAGGGTGGGGCATGATGGCACTCATCTAATCGGCCCAGGCTGAGGCAGGAGGATCTCATGAGCCAAAGAATAGTTCAAGGCCAGTCTGAGCAAGATAGCCAGATCTTGTCTGTCTGTCTGTCTCTCTTTTTAAATAACTTTTTAAAATTTATGTATGACAGCAGAATGCCTTACAATTCTTATTCCACATATAGAGCACAATTTTTCATATCTCTGGTTGTATGCAAAGTAAATTCACACCAATTCATGTCTTTATTCATGTACTTTGGGTAATAATGTGCAAGAAATGTCCAAAAAAAAAAAAAAAAAGACAACATTGACAACAAACCTACTGAGTAAATTTAAGTTTTTTTGTGTTTTTCTTTTTTTTTTTTTTTTTTTGGTTTATCCTTAAATGTATTCTTCTGTGGATATACAGACAAGAGTAGAGGCAGGCAAATCACTACCTGATTTTGTATGGCCTATGAAATAGCATGCTTTTACATTTTTTTTTTTTAAGAGAGAGAGAGAATTTTTATTTATTTATTTATTTTTTTTTTAGTTTTTTCAGCGGACACAACATCTTTGTTTGTATGTGGTGCTTGAGGATCGAACCCGGGCCGTACACATGCCAGGCGAGCGTGCTACCGCTTGAGCCACATACCCAGCCCCTGCTTTTACATTTTTAAATGAAAAAAAAAAAAAAAATCAAAAGACTATTTTGTGACCAGTGAGAATGATAGGAAATTCAGATTAAGTATTGGTAGAGTTTTGTTGGAGTACGCCATGCTCATTTGTTTATGTTG